TTGCTTTATACAGGAGTGGCATGCAAAACTCCAAAATAGTCCCTGTACGTTTACCTATTCCCTGTTTTAAGAAAATTTCATGTGCAAACCATGTGTATGTTACAGTGTATATCAATATTAAGAAAGTAAGAATAGCCTTATCACAGGTTCGTTCCGTTTGTTATTATTTAAGTTGTTATAAGGGAAAATTTCATAAGAAATCTACTGTGTGCAAATACTGTAAATTGAATGTCCTGGAAGATGAATACCATGCCCTGCTATTTTGTAATTATTATAGAAACATTAGAAGCAAATATGTACCCATTTACTTTACGAAACAACCGTCAAAACATAAATGTATCCAACTATTGTCAACTGCTAACTGCATTTTTATTGAAACTATTGCTCTGTATATCTATGATGCTATTTTGAAGAGAAATCCACTCAGCTGTTGAACTTTGTATATACTTGTACTATGGGCCCGTGGCCTTTAGTTCTGAATAATGATTGATTGATATATACCTGGGAAAAGGTTAAGCACCCCTCCATATGCTTACCGCTGACAGAACTATGTTAAATTTCAGTTTGTGTTTGATGATACGTGAAATCATATGGTCATTTAAGACATTATTGCAAGTGTACGTGATGGAAACCCGTGAAGGTCTGGGTTAGAATTGATCTTCCGTAGCCCATGCTTGTCGTAAGAGGCGACTAACTTGATCGGGTGGTCAGGCTCGCTGACTGGGTTGACACATGTCATCGGTTCCCATTTGCGCAGATCGATGTTCATGCTGTTGATCCCTGGATTGTCTGGTCCAGACTCGATTCTTTACAGACCGCCGCCATATAGGTGGAATATTGTTGAGTGCGGCGTGAAACTAAACTCACTCACTCACGTGGTGGAAGCTTGCACCATGAATGGCGACGGTTTCTTCTGCAACGGATACGGCAAGTGACGGTGGGATTGCGACGTGATCAGACTCGGTGACTTGGATGATTACTCCAAAGGTGGAATCGGTGAAGATCCATGTTAGTCTTCAGCAAGCCATGTTTGTCGCAAAAGGTGACTGACGGGATCGGGTGGTCAGACTCGCTGACTTGGTTCAGGGTATGCAGTCGTACCCCGACGGTGCTCATGGTGTCAATCACTAGGATGTGTCTTATCGACAGAACGCCGTCACTTATCCCGACGTTAAATGTGAAGAAACGGATGGTTGAGGACAGACGTCGAGCCACATGGAAAACACGTCCGTAAATTACGTATGTACAGAACCAGGAGAGGTGGACTCCAGGTAGTAACCAAGCGGTGATCATAACAGAACTATTTTACGGCGACTGACGGTATGTATGCGACGTAGGGCAGTTACAGGCAGTTATCCAAGCACGTGGAGTGAGCACTAAATATTGATCCTACAACGTTCCCAGGTTACAGCTCCGGTGTTTTAGTTTCATCACATACTTCTCTCTCTAGCTCCATACTTGTGACAGGTATATGTTTGAGCCCAAACAGATGATTTGTGTATTGTGTCGTATCTAGTATCAAAACGTTGACGGAAACTGTTCTTTGCAATTTTCTTGTAGTAATGACACAATCTTACTGAAAAACAGGCAGCTTTACCAACGTGCTGTGCCTGCACACCACTGATCGATGATAGTCGAAAGATACAACTTTGTGAAAATTAGCGGGGACAGGCCACATATTACCAATAGCACAGACTGCCTGTATTGACCTTTGCCGAAGTTTGCAACTCATTTAGCGGATATATCGAGTGTTGTGATTTTTCTCACGGGCCATCTTTCAGACTGCTCACATGTGGTGATTGTTTATTGCAAGCCAGACCACTGATATATTTGGTTGGTACATGTTCGTCGATAGGTTAGTTAGTTACGGCGTACATGCTTTCAATGAGTGATCAGTCCCATGATAATCATGTCAATTGCCCTTATACAGTCACAGCAATCGTTTTACAGCTGTCCTACTTATCTGATAGAGAACAGCGCGTTCACATACTTGTGTTGTAATGCACTAACACGCCGGCAAAGTCCACGTGATAGTAGCGATATCGTGGCAGCTTCGGTGAAAAAAATACTCTGTCGATTTTACCTCTATGGTGCAGTAAATGCTTATATTTTAAAGAGCATGATCAAACCGTATGTATCTAAATCTAAAATAATAAGTACATGTATGTTAAAATCGAGAAGTGTATTTACCGACTGTGTTTATCCCAAAGAAAAAAAAATGGTGTGATTTCGATTCCCGGATGTGACTTAGCCCAACAAAAGTACTAGAATCTGTACTTACTGAGAAAGTGTAATCCCAAATATAACGTGGGTTTCATTTGACCACATTATAAATGGCATTGTGCATTCAGAACCTCAGGTGTAGATATTACCTGGATTCCATTATCCACACACCGTCGTGATTAAGATGAATTAATGCCATGTGCGGCGTTCAACAAAATTCAACAAATAAAGCTTTCCTTCAACAAAAGGGCGCTCTGGAGGATACCAGGTATAAAAGAGGTCCATGCTTTACGTAGACTCTGAGGATGACTACACGAAACAGGTGGTCAGATTTGGTTACCTGGTTCATGCACTTTATTCGTGCTCATAATATCAATCATGAGGTTGTGTGGTCCAGACATCGACAGAACGCCGTCACTTATACCAACTAAATAAGTGATGCTGTAAGTACAGGTGAAGAAACAGGTGGTTCAGGACCGACATCGAGCAACAGTGAGAACGTCCGTACTTACAGGTATGTATGGAACCAGGACAAGTTCACTCAGTGTCCTTAAATTTAATATTCTGGGTGTAGATATACCACAGATAAAAGAGGGTCGGGTGAGGAAATACCACGTGTGACAAAAACAATATGTAAACAAACAGGTCGGTCATTGTTAATGAATATACAATGCCACAACTGGTTGATGCAATGTCCTAAAATGAACAACAGAAAGTCGGGTGTAGATATACCATGGGTAACAGAAAGTCGGGCATAGATATACCATGGGTAACAGAAAGGCGGTCGTAGATATACCATGGGTAACGGAAAGGCGGTCGTAGATATACCATGGGTAACAGAAATGCGGTCGTAGATATACCATGGGTAACAGAAAGGCGGGTGTAGATATGCCATGGGTAACAGAAAGGCGGGCGTAGATATACCATGGGTAACAGAAAGTCGGTTGTAGATATACCATGGGTAACAGAAAGTCGGGTGTAGATATACCATGACGGGAATCAAAATGTAGACACACAGGTGGTTCATTGTTGTCGAATGTACATAGCCACGATAGGCTGATGCAATGTTCTTAAATATACTGAGTCAAAAAAGAAACTTCACATTCTTTCTTCAGGGCACTATAAAAGAACAAGAGATGATAAGATGGTTAAATTGTTATTATTTGATTGCTCAGATTTGTGTGATGTACTCGATACACTGACAGTGCCATAATCAGTTCAATTAGGCTACACCGCCGTTCCAAAACATGGGTATACAGAATGTCAAGTCACAAGACTAAAAATGCGAAATTTCTCAGTTCAATATCGTGTATGGCCGCCCCACGCATTCACCACTGCCAAACACGGTCTCCTCATTGACTGCCTGATGCTTGTGAACACGTGGTTGGGGATTCTGCGCCATTGCTCTTGCAAGGCAGCGCCAAGTTCCTGCAAATTCTGAGGTTGGTTCCTAAGACCACGAAGCCTTCTCCCAAGTGCATCCCAAACGTGCTCTATTGGATTAAGGTCAGGGGACCTCGATGGCCAGTCCATGACGTTGATTCCATCGTTTTGATGGAAATTTCGTGTCAACAGCGCGGTATGCGGCCGAGCATTATCATGCTGGAACTGTAGACCTGGGCCATGAGCCGCCATGAAAGGAACGAGTTCAGGGGTGAGCACTGTGAGCAGCTGTGAGGTTTCCACGGATGACCAGAAGTCGGGAACGGTTGTTCCCACAGAAAGCACCCCACACCATGCAACTACCGCCCCCGAATCTGTCGACTTCCTGTACACAACATTGGGCATACCGTTCACGACGTCGTCTCCAGACTCTATGCCTGCCGTCCGCGAATCTGAGGGTAAACCTGGATTCATTGCTAAAGACGACTCGATTCCAGTCTCTCTGGGTCCATCGGAGGTGACGTTGGGCCCACAGCAGATGTTGACGTTGATGAAACGGCGTCAATATTGGCCCACGATATGGACGTCGAGAATGGAGATTGGCAGCCCGCAACCGATTTCGAATGGTCTGTGAGGATAGTCGACCTCTAAACATCTCAGCCCTGGTTCGTGTAGCCGGCAGAAATCTGTCACGTAGGTGACGTAGGACGATTTGACGGTCTTCTGCTCGCAAGTAATACACAGTACGACGGCTGCATCCCATTGCTCTTGCGACGTCAATAACTGATCTTACCGCTTGCAACATGCCAACGGCACGTTCACGTTGCACATTTGACAATCGTGGCATTTCAAGTACCGTTAGAACTGTGGTTTAAAAGTGTTTTTTCAATTCTTGAGGCCAATGCAAACACGTGCATATGAAGAAAACTTCGATGCGAAGATCACGTGATCGACTGCACGTGCAAAACCTGATTTGACACTAACGTCATTTGCACGACGAATGGATGGGTTTGAGTGGGTTTTGCTAACGTTTTTCTAGAGTCGAAAGATAGGGATCCCATTTCGGATACATAGCTGTATCATCAGAGAAAAATTATTCATTATTTTTCAAATTACATTTTGTGAAGTTTCTTTTTTGACTCAGTATACAAGTTTAGAATACATTCTCTGTGAACAATTTAAGGTGTTAGTGGAAAGCCAGTCTTCAATAATTGATGCTTAAATACACCAAATCTGTACATAATCTTAGAGCAGTTGAGAGATGGATAGTTCTGGAAGATAACAGTCAAGCAAGTCATGGCGATACTTGCCGAAACACATTGACATTTATCGCTGAGTCATGATCTGGGGCAGCATCTTAACACCGAGTGCACCCGCGCAAGCAAGAGTGCGCATGCGTTGCCATTGCTATATATAACATGCAGTAGATAACACAGTTAAATCAAAACACAAACAAGACCTCGACTCTCAAACAGACTTGCTGAACCAGTCACCTCCTGTTGAAATGGCGCTGAGAGGAAAAGTTGCTATCATTACAGGTGAGATTTTGTCATTGTGGAAAACGTATAAAGTATATGCTTTTCATGGGTTTGAATCCTCGACCATTGGTATGTCAGCAAAAAAAAACATGTCGTAAGGATCGATAAAAGAAATCGGGTGGTGAAGCTCCGTCAACCCAGATGACAGTGGCTCGTACATTACAGACATCAGACCAGAATGTACACTGGTTGACATTGTTAACAGACCTGGGTCTAGATTTTCTCTCTTAGCGCTAAGATAGTCGTAAGTTAATGTTAATGGATGGTACTTACGACTATCTTAACACTATTAGAGCCTCGAAAATCTAGGTCCTGGGCTGTAGATGCGAGAAGATACTGCAACCCCAGAGTCTGCCTGGTGTTGCTGGAATTTTTGCGCTACTAATGAGTTGATGACGTTTGTGAGTTTCTTTCTGATATTTTCTGTGCTGCTGAAATTGTGTGTTGGGCTGCTGATGAGCTGATCATGATTGTAAAATTCCTTCGATGTGTTTTGTGTTGCTGTTGAAATTGTTTCTGGGTTTCTAATGTGTTCTATGGAGATTCTGGTGTTGTTCATGGGTGTAAGGGAGACGTTCAGGTCATATTCCGATTCTTTTCCTGGGAATTCTGGTAGTGTTCGAGAGGCATCTGCTGACATTGTCTGTGATACTGAGATGGTTTTATGGTTGCCTCTCTTATACCTCCACCTGTTCTTTTCATAACATCATACGTTCATTTCAAACAATTATCCATCTTATATTACTGTTGCAGATGTTGTTTGTTGTGCTGCTGTGAGTCTTCGGGGGTCATGAACTTGTTTGTGAGACTGCTGACAATATTGTGGTGATCAGTCTTGCTATTTTTCACCAGCTGCGTGAATATTGTTGGAATGTTTCGGGAGTGAAAATGTTATTAATTATTCGTGTTTAGTTAAGCAATCAGATTTCACCAAGCTAGTGAAGGATGCTTGATTCTGAATAGTGAACATAATATTTAAATCAGGGGTCTAATGTCATTACATACATAGAACTGTAGCAAGTGTAATTACAATGCAGCCCGACAATTCCGCGCACCTACGCACATCGATTGCAACACGGCAACTGAAGTCTCTTATTTTTTGTGGTTTACGTTAATAAACATGCTGGTATACATCATATTTCCTAGAAATATAAGTTTTATTGACGACTATAATATTCTAACGTTGCATTATGCCATACGGTTGACCTTACCAGCGTTCTGACGATATGGCTTGCTGTCCGGTAATGCTGCGCAGCAACTGATGCGCATAACATCCAGCTGGAGATCCGAAGTATGGAAGCGTATTAGGGCCAGATTATTTTTTAAATCACTTCATCAATGTGAGGAAGAGTGTTTCATATTAAATCCAATTATGAATAATGAAGAAAACGGTTTAAAAGCCTGAAGAAAACGAATTTTCATAAAACTGTCAAATTATTTGCCAATTACTGTTATTTACTTACCTTTAGTGATTAAAGGCCAGTCCCCCTTCGAAATGTCTCGATTTCAAGCTTAAATGTGGTAGAAGACGATGTTTACCTTCGATACGGAAGTAAGCTTTTGCAGCTGCGCAGTATTACTGGACGCGCGTCATTACCGGACTCGCTTGTGCACAAAACGTACATACTAATTTAGAGGCACACACACACACACACACACACACACACACACACACACACAAACACATACACACACATGCGCTTTGTAAAACAAGATTTCTTCTCGTGTTGTTATAATGTCTGACGTTAGTTCCAAATAGAATAATTTCAATGTTTCAATAGTGAATGTTGTTACTATAGCCATTCGTGTTTAGTTATTCATGTTTACATTAGTTATCAGATTTCACTAGGACACTGAAGGATGTCATAACATACGTTGAAAGGAGCACGTTTCATCACATAAATGTACATATAAATTCATAGATCAACTGATAGCCGATGCACATAAGGATGAAAAAGAGGTACACACGCATACTCACACACACAACACGATGAATACACGAGGAATTCGCTGTGTGTTTGATTTGAGTCAACACAATCTCCTCTTTCAGGTTCCAGTTCAGGAATTGGGGCAGGGATTGCTGTAGCGTTTGCCAAAGAAGGAGCCAAACTGTCATTGACTGGTAGGAACCAGAAGAATTTGGAGGACGTGGTCAAGAACTGCAAGAAGGCAGGGTGTCAGGTGAGCAGAAAAGCGATAGAGGAAGTCATCATTAAGTACAGCCCCAATAGTCCAAGGCGCTACAATTAAGCTTTTAAAATCGTGTCCATTAAGCGACACAGGTCCTCAAATCAATATTGGTACAGTTTCCAATCATGCCACAAAATAAGTGCCTAAAGGAATCGAAATCTGTAAACACTGCAAAATCGAAGATGGTTATACAGAATTGAAGTTATCAAGGTGATCAGCTTTCTGTTTCAGGACGTTCTCATAAACGTGGGAGACGTCACAAAGGATGCTTTCAGAAAGACTCTCGTGGAGGCAACCAAGAAGAAGTTCGGGAAAATAGACATACTGGTGAGTATACTTTAGATACTGCAGACGGGATGGAAGGACATATGCATGCATATATCTGTACCACCACGACTAATTGGGAAAAAAATAATTAATAATAGTTCAGCTAAACGTTTTGCTTAAATTTTGATGTTATTTGTTTCTTCTTTATAGCCGCAAACAGTAAGCTAATCCACATGACATATGCACAACCAGAACATCATGTGATTGATAGCTTAGGCAAAGATGAAAGTCGTAGGGATAATGTTAAACGCAAAGTCATTGAGCTTCACCCGATCCATTAAATCGCTGCTTTGCACAAACACGTGTTTCTGGCCATCACTTTGAATATCCATCTCTGTCATCGTCTCGCAAGGTGACAATGACTGGACTGGACTGTCTGGTCCAGACTCGACTGTTTACAAACAACACCGTACAACTGTAATACTGTTGAAACAAATACTACCCGTGAAGATCCGGGTTAGAATATTGGCCCTCAGTAGCCCATGCTTGTCGTGAGAGGCGACTAACGGGTTCGGGTGGTCAGGCTCGCTGACTTGGTTGTCACATGTCATCGGTTCCCAATTGCGCAGATCGATGTTCATGCTCTTGATTACTGGATTGTCTGGTCCAGACTCGATTATTTACAGACCGCCGCCATATAGCTGGAATATTGCTGAGTGCGGCCTACAACTCAGGTCACTCACTGAAACAAATACATGTTCATGATATAGTTCACAATTATACAATCAAATCTGCGTTTAGCAGAGATTTCTTATGCATGTGGAAAGAGCTTTATCGCTTCTGTTCTGTTGATCTGATTTCAAGGATGCCAATGTGTCACCTGCGTAACGATTTTCTCAGTGCAAAAGGAAAATGGAACTATTTGAAAAATCGGAACAGTTTGTTTATAAGAATGCACAGGACCATCAAATAAAAATGATTTGTAAGGATAAAAGAGGTCCCTTTAACATATGCGTGTTTTGGAGTACTCGAGTTTTATCGATCATCCCTATTGATTGAACTGTGTGGCAATAGCGAGACAGGCTACACAAAACGGGGTTTCACAAAATGTACCGTGGGGAATCCTACCAGTCATCGATGTAACGAGCAAACCCTTTAAGCACTAGGTTAAATCATGAGATGGGTTTTAAGAGATTTGATAGTCAGTGGTTAATTGGTGGATAACGAGTCATAATACCTTGGTGGCGTGGACCGTTGCTCATATTATCAATCACTGGGTTTGCATTCACTTTACATTACCCGACTATGTACGACACAGACGCTACAGATGGTGGCGATAAGCCGTAACACAAACAAGCTAGGTATATCATATGTCTGTGTTTAGGTGAACAACGCTGGGATCTCAGACATAAGTCCACTGACATCAACGACCAAAGAGCAGTACGACAGAATAATGGCTGTCAACGTTGAGGCACCCTAGTTTTTGACACAGTTAGTTGCACCGCATTTGATTGAAACTAAAGGTACTTTCTAAATGGCTGTGATTTCATGTGTGGTTTTATGTCTGGATTTCATTTTTGAAAACAATTCATTCTGGAAAACAAGACACTAAAGACAGTACTGAACTCACTGTACAATTTGCTGTATGTCCTGGAAACAGGTGTTGTCACCACAACTTGTTCAGCTTCACGTTTCAGAGAAACAACTGTACGTCGTGAGGCTGTGAATAAAATATATTCAGTCCTTTACAAACGCCATATAGAACTTATTATAATAACTGTATGTCTTTTCATAAGATAAGATGTTACAATGAACACACGATATTTCCAGTTTTCTTCCTGAAGTCACTAGTCGTTTGCTAATCAAATAATTTTGTTTCAGGAAACGTGGTCAATACGTCGTCTTGCGGAACGAGCATGATCGTGAGTGTGATGGTTATAAGAATAATTCACAACCTGTAGCCGTTTGAGTGTAGAATAGGCCACGCGCATAACACAGGAAGCCGAGTGGATGCTGTATGACCAAAATGAGTGTTGTGTGGGTAAAGAAAGTGTTAATGGTCACAATGTGAGTTCCTTTCCTTTCCAAGTTCAGAGACCCTGAATATACATCATCCCTTTTGCACATCTATATAGAATGAAATGAGCAGACTGCTCCTACTATTTTCGTATGTCATACAAAGGCCTTTGACCAAATTTGTCACTCTTTTTCCCGTTCAGATTCCGAATGCAGGTGTCAATGTCATGTCGAAGGCGGCCATAGATACATTCACAAGATACCTTGCTCAAGGTAAGTATATATGAGAGTATCAGTGAACCGATTTACTCACTCAAAATGTCTCGCTGACATGTCAGAGGAAGAAATTGCTTCTGAACTGAAGGCTCAAGGTGTCACATCTGTCAAGAGATTCACTACGAAAAACGGTGATGATATCATTAAGACCAATACCTACCTGTTTACCTTCTGTCTCACGTCACTACCAAAATCAATAAAAGCGGGATATTTTAACATCGATGTGGAAGTGTATATCCCAAATCCGCTTCGATGTTTCAAATGTCAAGCGTTTGGACACGGAGCTAAGTCATGTCGCAGTTCCCCAGTTTGTTCCCGTTGTGGTGGAACGCATGAAAACGTCAACTGCACAAATGAAATCAAATGTGCAAACTGCAACGGTGACCATGTGTCATTTTCCAAATTATGTCCAGCATATGACAGGCAAACACAAATTTTGAAATTGAAGCACACCAACAATATATCCTTCAATGAAGCAAAGAAATTATTACCAGTTAATAGTCGCTTGTCTTCTACTAAAACGTACGCAGCAGCTGTTTCTACTCCTTGCCCAAAGGTTGATCAGGGCTGTCAAACTGCAATCACCTGGGTCTCAGACGACCAAACTGTTTTGTACAGCGTTTCTGGTACCGGAAATGGTGCTGCCACTCAGACAGATACTGATATTGAAGCAGACCTTCCGCTTCCAGCATTGTCTGACACTCCATCAGACTCCAAGAATTTGCCAGCACCTCAAATTCTTTCAGACCCTGAAACCCAGACAGCACCAGTAACCAAACCTAAACGTCTCACGAACAAAGAACGGAAACAACTTAAAAAAAAGAAATTGGGGCACTTAAACACTTAGAAGTGGCTCCCCCTTTATCCGTCCCTGTAGAGGTTCACAACACCTTTGAACCTCTGGACATGGAGGTCACTCCATCGCTGTCAGATCAGCGAAGAGGTCCTTCTCCCCGTGCTCGATCTCCCATTGAACCACCATGACTTCCTCCACTAATTTACTTCAATGGAATTGTAGAGGACTTCGTAATAACTTTAATGATCTTCAGCTATTATTACAAGATCTAAAACCATCAGCTTTTTGCTTACAGGAAACCTTCCTTAAAGTTACAGATAATTTTGACTTGAGATATTACAACTCATACCATCACTTCTCTCCTCCGGGTGATATAGCTTCTGGAGGATCTTCTGTTATGGTGAGGCAGGGCGTCATTCACAGCCCTGTTTCCTCTTAATACCAGGCTGTTGCTGTGCGAGTTACCCTAAATATCGTTTTTACCCTGTGTTCTTTATATGTTCCACCTTCGTTCTGTCTCCGACAGGTTGGTCTTCAAGCATTATATGACCAGCTACTAAAGCCCTGTGTCATCATGGGAGATTTAAATGGCCATAACCCGCTTTGGGGTAGTAATAACATCAATACAAAGGGTAAAATCTTGGAGGAGTTTTTCTCAAACAATGATTTGTGCATATTTAATGATGGTTCTCATACATATCTACATCCAGGGACTGGAACTTACCCTTGTCTGGATTTATGCATTGTTGACTCTAATTTACTGAGTGAATTTGAATGGTCAGTTCACGATGACCTCTGTGGAAGTTACCATTTTCCTACCATATTGAAATCTGTGACACCTTCTGATGTTCCTCCATCATCACGATGGAACTTTGCTAAAGCCCACAGGGATTTGTATGAATTTCGTTGTTCTACTAAACTAACACCTGGTGCTTTTCTTGATGTTCCCGACTATGTAACACTCATCTCTAACGAACTTCTTAAAATAGCTGATGAATGTGTTCCGAAGTCCTCTTCCAATCCACACATACGTAAACCATGGTTTAACGCTGAGTAGTAGAGGTAATGATTGTCCTGGACCAGTTCCAACAAAAGCCTCTGCAAAGCCTTATTCCCCAAATAAGGCTTTGGTCGGACCCTTAGCTCTTGCTACCATTACCCCTACTGCTTTCCCAACCTATAAAAATTTCAAGTAAAATGTCCCCGGCAGCCACAATTCCCAAAGGGAGAAATAGAAATGTATTGCGCTTCCTCCCTTGGGAATTGTGCCGGCTGCCTTTCTCTCACATCACACAAAGTTGCAGAGACAACGGCGGGATACGAACCCACATACACAGCTTGCGCAGACTATACCGCGGACTTAGCTGAAGTAGGTCAGTTTAACGGGTAGATCATGCGCACCCACGCATCACGTGACACGTTGTCTGGAATCAATAATTCCTGTCTGCCTGGTCCATCCCTCAAGTAGTACAAGGTAGGTTCGTTTTATCTATGTCCACGTGCCTCTATGTCACGTTGGCCTCGATGAAACAGTTTAATGTGAATCGCCTATGATCTCTTTGGTGTTCGTTATAAAAGCTTGCCGGGCTTTTTGTATCCCCTGTTCTATATACTTTTTTTTCTCGTCCTCGCTGATAGCAGACTTACGAGACTTGGATCGAATCTCTTGTTTCATTTTGTCATATTTTGTGAGTTCAGAGAGGATTGAACGAAATTCCTCCTCTGAGATCTTACTGTCAGTGAGTGCCGTGGAAATACGCTCACTCACCGTGTTCAGCTTTGCTTCGGCCAGAACCCTGATTTCGTCAGTGTTTCAATGCTTTACGATGCAGTCTGCGGGATACAAGCTTAAGCCCCAACCCCAACACCCCTGTCACCCCAGCTGTTATTTCGAGCCCCATCACTATAGGTGCGGCCACGATGGTAGCTAACAACCCAACACCTGCCACCCCTAGGCCCATGCTGGCTGCCATAAGGGTAGTATCGGTCCCGTCCACGGCATTGAAAGCTCTATGGCACTTCTTATATAGTGCTTTCCGCTTATCGCGGTCTTGTTCTAGTTGACGTTTTACATCGCATAACTGCCTCAAGCGGAACCCGTCTACGGTTTCCAGGGTCTTCGCTACTTCATCTATGCCTGGGTATAGCCCCATTCTGTATGTCTATAATATATCTGATAAAATATTTTTTAATTGGGGATCGGTTATTAACTGATCAACGTACTTGAAGTTTATAACGCCTACGTTCTCGGGTATCTCAATAGAGGAAAGGTCAATAGGTAAAATTGGGGAACTTCTAAATATACAGGAGCTGTAAAAGGGGGGCAGCAACCCCTCACCATCCTGTCGTATAACGAGACTACAATAGCTGCCTTTAGTGGCCTGAATAGATGGTTTTATTAGCACCCCAGATAAAAGGTACCATGAGGACCCACGGGTATTTTTTAAAAAGAGTGTTACGATTAATGTGGAGCCTGGAGGCATAAGCCTAGGCAATGGTGGTAGGTTAGAGTATATATTAAATGATAACCGTGCATTCCCCCCCCGGTTGCATCTAACATGTAAACCAGGTGATCTGGGATTTGGGAAATTCTAATTTTTTCAGGGCCGCTGGATATAAACCCCCCAAGCAAGATACCGCTGTTCTTAATTTCATCGATCTCCCTAGATCCATGATTACGAAAAGAAACGTAAGGTGTGGTGAGGGTTATATCGAGCAACCATTTGGGTCCTCTAAAGTGTTTGTGCAGGAGCCAATGGTCCATTTTCATCCGCGTATACACGTTGTCTATCAAGCGTAGGACGTACGAGGTGTCATTCTCGCCAGGTTGATCGAATCCCTCTACACCCCCCTAGATCCCCGAGAGTGATTTTGGGTAGATGATCAACCATTGCTGCCCGCCTATACACGTTGTCTTTCAAGTGTAGGACGTATGAGCCACCTTCCTCACCAGGTTGATCGAACCCATCCGTGTCCCAAAGGTCGTTAAGCGTAGTGTTGGGTCGATGACTAGTCATTGCTATAATACTATTACGATATAATTTCCAACTAGTGTTCTGGTACTAGTTCAGGGATATAGCTCAATCCCATAATATATTTTAATTGGGTTTCATTCAACCTTTGATTAATGTACTTAAAGCCGACAATACTTAGATTAACGTGTGTGTAAAAAAGCGGGGTCTCAGCTCTACTTCCATTAAGGAGACGAACCCCATCAAGGCTTGCTAAAGGTCTGTGTCCCGATACCTTAATAATACGACAACGTTGGTTATTACACCTGGCTTCCCAACCTATCAGCATATCATCTATAATTTTAATATAACGCGCAGTCAAACTTATATCCCCGAGATAGACGTCTATGAGGAATGTGAAGTTTTCCGCGACATTTCTAAAGACCTCTTGGTAATCGAGTAATTTGATCTCTGTCTTCACCGT